CCAGCATAATACTATAGTTAAACAACTTGATAGATCTATTTAACAAAGTGAAGCAATCGAGAAATTGATTTCAACTCGCTTGTAAAACTCCCTCCTGGCCTTGTATAACTCACTTCCGGCTCCATGTTTTCCAGCCAACTTTAATCTGCAAAAATTTAAATGCAATGTCAATCGCTATCTACTGTCCTCCCGATTACTCTCTTCTCTTTCTGATCATCATTATTGTTTCTGTTTCTAATTCTTCCATACCCTGTAAGCACTTGAGTTTTAGTGACATTACTGCCTTGGTTGGGGTGATTCTGATTAATATTTTGTATAGAGAAAAACGTTAAAATTCCCTTCCCTTTCTCGTGCGACGATGGCCTGATGGTAGGATAATTGACGTCTAGCCACACTGAGGAGCTGTGATACGGCAAAACAATTTATCTGTGGATGACTATATATATATATATATATATATATATATATATAGTGGACTCTCCTATCATGAACGATAAATGGTGGTAGGCAGTGGATGATATAGAATCCTTTGAATATAGTCATGTTCCGTTTAGCAATTTCAAACGATCAGTTCGTAAGGGTGAACAAGGTCCAGCACCAGGTCCACAAAGTCACCACGTCAACTGTGACATATGTGGAAAACTCTGTCTCTTATTTGCGGGTCTCAAAAGCCATTTGCGCAAACATGCCTAACCTGCTGTTCCGCAAAATAACATTCATGTGAACCAACACGATTGACAATGTCCAGTCCGTGGTAAAACTTGCCGCAGTTTGGCGGGTTTGAAAAGCCATCTACGGGTGCATACAACTCGAAATAAGGAAGGAAAGAGGAGAAAACGTAAAACTCAAGAGATGGTCATACTCGAAACCGAGACACTATATATATATATATATATATATATATATATATATATGCGTATGGAGCTCCCTTCCGGCCTTACAGCCAATTTTAATCTGCAAAAATTTAAATGCAATGTCAATCACTAACTACTATACGCCCGGTTACTCTCTTCTTTTTCTGTTCATCATTATTGTTTGTGTTTCTAATTCTTCCACATCCTGTAATCGCTTGTGTTTTAGTAGCATTTACTGCCTTGCATAGGGTGACACCCATTAAATATATATACTGAATCCATTGCTAGGTCATCTGCTAAGAAAATTGGTTCAGTGTGTCGTCCTAGATTATTTTATCTCCAGAATCTATCCTACATATCTATAAGTCTACCATTCGTCCATGCTTAGAATATTGCTGCCATATACGGCCCCGTGCTCCTGATATATATATAGAGATCAGCAATATTATCGGTCCTAATCTGGTGTCTCGGCTTCAGCCAATTTCCCGCGACCATAAAGTTGCTGCCTTATGCCTTTTCAATAAAGGCTTTCGTGGTAATTGTTTGGATGGGGTCTTCGCTATGGTACCTAGACTTTATGAATTTAAGCGCAGTACTAGTGTCTAGATCTCATCAATCTACAGTTGTAGCCGTAAGTTTTATGCTAACATTTTATTTTCTCGTACTTCACGCTTGTGAAACTCCCTTCCAGCTACATGCTTTCTAGCCAATTTTAATCTGCAAAAATTTAAATGCAATGTCAATAGCTATCTACTGTTTTCTTGATTACTCTTTCCTCTTCGCACTCATTATTAATGTGTCTGTTCCTGGTTCTTTCACACCCTGTAACCCTTTGTGTCTTAGTGTCTTTACTGCCTTGCTTGGGGTGAAACCGATTAAAAAAGATCTCGTGATGGCGTTTATTTATAAATATTGCGAAAATTCCGAACTAGTCTGTTGCGTTCAGTTTGCACTAACTATGTAGTTTGGGCTGTCTAGCCCTGGGTGACAGCCAGTCTAGGAGAAAGCATAATTTGAATATATAACTGAGAAGGCAATAGGAAACCACTCCACTATCTTTTCTATGAAGTGCTGGTAATTCACAGATAATCAATACAATGAATCTGTCATGATACATGATCGACTACGTTCTGAAGTGACATTGTATTTTTTAAAAAAATCTATAAAGATCGCACATGCGGTTAACTTAACGGTTATCGGCGAAAAATGTAGAATCAGCAAGTCAATTCAAAATTCCTGTTGTGTTCACTTTGTACCAGCTATGTAGACTAGGCTCTCTAGCCTTAGGTAGCAGCCAGTCTAGGAGAAAGAATATTTTGAATTCAAAACTGTAGAAAGCAACGGGAAACTCGTCCATTATCTTTAACAAAAAAAACATGATAATTCATAGGTATTAAAAAAGAAACAGTAAAGAGACATGATCGCCTACATCCTGAATGTCTATGATATTTTAAAACTATCTATAATAAAAAAGACACTACTTTTTTTTATCTAAACACATTATACCAACCAATACCAATTCCTTTTCGATTCTAATAACTTGATTTCTATTATTTGTACTGCTGAGATTCTGCCATAGAAATTTGCAAATTATATTGGAATTAGTTTAGTCATGGTGATTCAAGCAAAATAAAGAAAAAGAAAACAGTGGAGAGCCATGATTGCATATGTCCTTAAAATGACACTATAAGATATCATGAATTGATACTCGACACAAACTCAGATCGAAGTATCGAAGTTTATTTGAGACAAAACAATAGTTAACTGAGTAAACAGCTGTAAGTGAGATCGTTCTTCACCGAAGACAACACTTGTTGCCGTCTAATAGACGAAGCTAAGCTTATTAAACTCTAGTTTATCAACGACAGCAATTTTATTTCCCTCCCGATTTTCGAATCGACTGGTGCTTCATTCTGATTTTCAGAATATTATGATTGCGTTAATGCCCGCACATATCGTCTTGCAGCAAGAACTTGCAGAGCTAGCACGCCAAAGACTGCATTACAAACGAACTATCGTTCCAGCTAGTTAGACGAGAAAACAATTGTCCAAGAAAGTTTTTCTTTTTAAATTAAGGATAAAATAATTTTAATTTTCATTGCAACAAACCGATCCTTATTTTCCGACAGGGTTTTCACTAAGAGGCAACATGAGAGAAGAAGATGGTGCTTATCGGAATTAATATATCCGAATTTTTTTAAAAGAGGATGTTCCTCAAAGCGCCCTTCTCGTTTCTAAACACACTTTGGCAGCGTAGCCTTTAAACAACTGTGATAATTAATTTTGCATATAAAATGTGGGCAATATTTAAACTTTGTGTCAGCAAAAAACGGTATGTCAACAGGACGGTTTTACCTTGACACCGCTATTATTGATTTCTGTTATTTGTACCGCTGCCGCTGGAGTATTACAAATGAGTTCAGTTTTCAGTAAGTTGTCAATTATTGTAGACTTGCGTTAGATAAAGCTAAACTAACACTTTTTGGGCGCCTACCATAGAGATGGTTTGTAAGGCACATCCTGATAGTTATTGCTAAGGGAATACAGTTCACTCAACATAGCGTACCTCATTTATGATCGTGTGCTTTGTAGATTTTTTTTAAAATCAATTCACCCCAAACAAGGCGATAATGCCAATAAAATACAAGGGGCTACTGGAAGTGAAAGAGAAGGAAAAAACTTTAGAAGGAACCGGAGACCCAACCCTAAAGAGGAAACAAGGGATAAACATCTACTCCTGTTCAAATGATCAAGAAGTGTGATGCCTTGAAATGCTAGGGTATTATGGCCTTGTGCCAAACTGAACTATATTTATTAAGTATCAATTTACAACTTATTTTTAAAGAAATCGACTAAAAAATGACTTACCTTCGTAATTGCATATTGGATGGGAGTACTGGCACACGAGTAAGTATGACTTCCAGCAGCGCTAAGACAATCTCTAAGGGCAGACAACTCATTCGGGAATATATGGTAACCAATCTAAAATTAGAGATGCAACATAAAAAAAAAACAATGGCAGTGGTTACACTGAAAAATACCGAAATTTATACAAGTAAATAGTGGGGTAGATTAGACTGGATAAGTTTGTCCGTTTCCAGACAACAAATCTCAACGACTACAAAACTGCCCTTCTCGGGACAACGCTCTTCTCACATTCTACTTAAGCATGTAGAGATATTTTTTGTCTAGTGTACACCATATTTTCGTCGATGCATTTTCTTTAACGAAAATAAACTTGGCAATATTTTTGTTTTTACTGGAATCTTCGTTTTGTTTGTTGTTGTCTTGCGCCATTCAATATCTGTTTGCAAACCAATTACCACCGCAACAAGTTTACTGTTGTACGTTTGCTGACCAGAGACACATTTAACATTTTACGCTTTTCCCAGGAAAAGCCTATTTCACTGTCAGATCTATATATATATATATATATATATATATATATAATAGAAAGAATGTATCTTTAAATGTTGTGCGACAGAGCTTGTATCTGGCAAATGTACTGTAAGACGTCATGATACTGTTCTTGTCGTCCTGCCAACATATGTACTTAATTTTTTGTAGCAAAGGACATTTAAACTGAAATACAGTCTTTTCCAAAACAATAGTTGAGGGAGAAAAGTTATGATTAAGTCGGTTGTGTTAAATTTAGTATAGTATTAGTTTTATTTTTTTATTTATCCAAATAAAAAATATTAATACTTATGAAAGTTTTTAGGATTTTTTGATTTTGTTTATAGTTAGAATGCATTTCATTTCAGTATAGTAGGTTGATATAATCAGAGTTATTTGAGGAAGTATTACGTTCTTTTTGATTGTTAATAATTCTAATGGCTCGTCTAATTTGTTCAACAACGATATAATTAGGAAAGTCCTTATTAATGAGAATTGGTTTCATGTTTTTAATTCAATGTAGAATTTTTTTCTCGTGGAAGAGTTAACTTTTGCGCAATTTATTAAATTATTTATAACAGTTATTTCGTAATATCAGGACATTCACTTTTATAGTTTAAAGTGCACGTGTTTATGTTAGTTGCTTTTTTATATGGGGAGGTAGTAAATCTATTATTATTAGTGTCTATCACTACATCAAAAAAAGGAATTTTATTGTCATTGAAGACCGGGGTATTTACATGTTGTTGTATTAGAAACACGTGTGTAAGTCCTGGTAGAATATTAAAAGGTCCAACTACAGGAAAATGGGCGAACTTGTCGGAGTTAGCGCCTCCTTAGCTCCTTAACTTTCAACAGGGGTCTCTCTTCCCTGGCTATAAATACTCGCTGACCCTTCGCCTCTTCCTCTTTTTCCCTCAGGCCTTTGGGCCGCCACCTTGAGGTAAATTCTTTTTGCCTTCGGCCTTATACCACCTCGCAGATGTGAACGCTCACAGACACAGTGTTTCCCAAATGCTGGGAACACGCTAAGAACAGTACACGTACATACGAACACTCACAACACACACACATAATATTCACCACACACTCTGTCCATGTAATTGTTCATGTAACTTGTAACCTTTCTTGTTATTAATACATATATTTGTTTACATATATTTATCGGTCTTGTGTTTGTTTTTCTTTGCCTTCTTTGGACTTAATTAAAGTCCAACTTTCTCATGTAGTTGGACCGGCTAGCAGGAAATTTTAACCCACGTGTATTCTTCTACTTCTACTCAACATCGCCGACACAGTCCGCTACAGACTTGAATTAAGTGCAACTGAAGATAAAGATGACAAACAAGACCGATATCTTTTATTATATATATATTGGTAAAAAAATTATTTGCGAATTTTGACTCAGGAGCTCAGACAGAAAGGTTAAAATTGTTTGGGAACGCAAGGCTCAAAGGGTTAATGTCTGATAAAAAATACTTTAAAAAATACTGTTGCTTACGTTTCGGGTACGAAACTGAAGCTAGCAAATATAGATTCATAGAAGTCCCAACGAGTGATCTCCTCTCCTTAAATCGGTAATTCAAACCTTTCTCCGTAGCTAAACTGTCTAAAAAATGTTTTTTCCTCATGAGAAAAAATGAATACATATTTGATTCCTATCGGAGGCACAGTTTTTCTTTAGCAAGACTTCTCAATATAGGCCGGTTGTTATTAATTTCACTGTTTAAGAAGATAAAAAATAAAGACAAGGATAGCGATTCAAACACGTGTCCTCACTAGAAATAATGTCGGATAAAAATCTCTTAAAAATCTCTTCCTTCTTTCTTTCTTTCTTTCTTTCTTTCTTTCTTTCTTTCTTTGTGCCGTGTCCCTTCAGGACGTAGGCGATTATGGCTCAATACCTCCCTCTATCCCTTGCAGCTCTCAACAAGTTCCTTCCCTCTGCCACCTCCCCCAGACCACGTTCATCCACTTGCTTAAATCCGCCAGGTATGTCATGCATTGTTTTCCCTTGTCTCTCTTTCTCTCTATTTTAACCGTGATTATCAGATTCTCTTTCCTCATTATGTGTCCCAGAAACTTCAGTTGCCTCTTCGTGATGTTAAGTATAAGCCTCCTCCTTGTTTGAATCTTGTATAAGACCTCATCGTTGCTCACACATTCGGTCCATGATATCCTTAGCATCCTTCTGTAGAACCACATCTCCGTCGCCTCGAGTCTCTTCTTCATCTTTGAGGAAATCGACCAACGTAAAGAAGGACAGATATTCCGCAACAGCTCAGTATAGTTTTCTTCGTTACCAAAGAAATCCTGTTATCTCGCAATACTTGCTCAGCTTTTGGTATGTCCTTGGCCACCCCAATACGTCTACGGATCTCAGTGTCGCATTTACCGTTCTCTGTCAGAACGCTTCCAAAATATTCAAACTTCCGTGTCTGCTCGATTCTAGTGTCTCCGACCTGAAAATCGCATTTCGGGCTCATCCTTTTACTGATGACCATGCATTCTGTTTTCTTGTAGTTTATGCTTTGTCCCTTCTTCACACTGCCCGTCGCTACTTTCTGTAGGAGATTCTTAAAAAATTACAGTTCTTATTTTCACAAAAACCGTCAGTGACAAAATGCAAGAATGCTAACGAGTAACAGTTGCTTAGATAAATTCAATTTGACCTCATTAAATATTGTTCATCATTAATCTGGTTTTGAAGAGTAAATTTATTTAAGACAACGTTGAAAGTTATAAAGTTGAACCGAGCCATATTACTTGATAGACAATGAATTAAAATCACTTGTGATGTTTTTATTCTTAACAGATCGGACGGAAATCTTTTTCTTCTAAGTCATGAAATATTACAAGTCGAAAACAAATAAACGTTCAGTTTTTGTTGAGACCTTGTTTGCTAGACTGATACATTACTCAGATTATACCGAAGTAGCCCGACTGCTGGAGTCGCCATTGATATATAAACACACCAATCAATGTTTTTATACCTCAAGATATATCAATATATTTATACGTACAACTGTATATGTCTCCATTGTTCCACGTGCACGTACATAACATAAATTCTCTCGAAATATACATTTATGTGTACAATAATAGATGTTTATGCATGTTTCCTTATAAATGACGCACAAGAAATATCTTGAGAGTTTTTTATTTAATTTTTCTTGTTTCCTTACGAGTTTCTTTTTTGAGTACTGAATGTGTGGAGAAAGTGTCCATAGTATTGGTTTATCCGAGCGTTTTCGGCTAATAAATTAGCCATTTTCAAGATGGTGGAATTAATTTACCATGTTAATTAAGATTAATAATATATATTGTGCATCCGATAGTGTGTTGTTGATAAGAATTTTTTGTAGCATTAATTTTTCTTTTTATTTAAGTTTTCCTTAGTTTCAGACCATTCTAAGTGCGTTCGTGCTCGGTTTTATTAAGCGATGGTCTGGTGTTATTTTTTGGAAATGCTTACACACACACACACACACACATATATATATATATATATATATATATATATATATATATATATATATTGTGAATGTTACTCGTTTCCTTTTTACCAGATATTGAATTATGTCACTTTCTTTCCTCTACATATTTTGACCGACTTTTTAACCACCTGATTAATATTCACGAACGTTTTCAAAGTTAAAAGCTTTGATAAATCAACGACACTCTTGCAACAAAATAAATCCTATATTGCCTTGATAAAGTCCATCAGAGGACGAAACGCGTCGGCTTAGAATAGTTTTTCCTATTGTGTTTTTATTCATTTTCTTCCTTTACAGAACACACACACACACACACACACACACACACACACACACACACACACACACACACACATATATATATATATGAAACTGATATATGCATTTTTTCGTGTGACGTGTTTTATCCTTTAGTATTTCATCGGACTAAAGGAAAACCTCTAGAATATATGCTCAAAACGTTTATTTTTAAAAAACAAAATAGAATTTAAAATTGTGAGCGACTCTTCTCCTTTGTGCTCATGTGCAGCCGTATCAACGTAAACATTACTTTATTCCGCTGAAGTTCTAATTGACGAAACACATATACGAAAACATTTTTGACATTGTCATACATTACTCCTATATATACATACATACATACATACATACATACATATATATATATATATATATATATATATGTGTGTGTGTGTGTCAGTGGCTGAATGAAGCTTATTCGAATTCCGAACCTACAAAATAACCTTTATATTTGTTTTCGCAGTTTAAAAATGTAGACGGAATCTGCAAAATATTTCAAGTTTATTTTGTGTATTAAAGTCCAAAATGCATCAAATTTGTAGAAATATAAATAAATGCATGTGCAAAAGTTCCCAGCGATATTTTTTTTTAAACCCGAAACTTTATAAAATTTATAAAATCGCTTTCTATGTGGGAAAAGTCACCCCCACAAATCACCCCTCTAACCACGACGTCCACCTACAAAAAAAAAAAAAAAAAAAAAAAAAAAAAAAAAGAAAAATTAGAAACATTTGCACACACTTCATACGTGAAGCAGGGTCATAAAGAAACACTGAGCTAACATTCATACATCTTAACTTACCCTCCAGCCGCCGGCGCCCGCACATTTAGAGAAACCTGTTGTTACAATGGCTCCTTCTGGGTAAAGCTAGAAATCAGAAATTAGGAAAATAGCATTAAGAATAAATTTAGGACCACTTCCGAACCCCATAAAAATAATAAGAAATAATTTTAGCACGAAATTTCATACTCGCGGTCCCACTCTGGATACGGGCCAACAAATTTTGGGCACGGAGTTAAAATTTTGCTTTGTGGGTGTAACAGGAGACTCTATCTAAAGTATTTTCGTTGTTTGCAGACCTTTACTCCAGACCTTATTTCAGATACAAGTCTAAGGACTATTGATATGTCCCGGAAAGGGATATATTTGTTCGAAGTAGCAAAGTGGTTGTTGGCTACTGTAACCGAGTAGGACAATCTATCAGATAACCGTAATGCACTGGTCCTCGTCGTAGTGGTAGGCAATAGGCGTAGGCAATAGGCAAAAACAATAGGCGTCATCCATGTACATCCGCATCAGTCTGTATTTATGGCTGACACCAGGGGGAACCCAGGTGTATGCATATTCATTACATCAACTATCAATATATGTAGTTTATTGCTGTTGTTGTTGTTGTTGAGTAGGAAGGCAACATACAAATAAAGTGACAATGAGGTACACTTATCAGTTAGTTAGATATTTCCCGCAGTAGGTTGCCATTTCTTTCTGCGGTAGACCAGTTGCCATCGAAGGATATAGAACCCGGTCTGTCTTGCTATTTACCCATAGGGAGGATTTATACCTTCCCCAAGTAAGTGAATGTAATGGATTCGACTGTAATTCGAACTCGGCACTCAATCCGAGCCGATATCCATTACACCACCGTACATCTCACGGTACACATATACGAAGCTCAATATAACCGTCATGACGTGTGATAAAAGTATATCAGATAGATGCATCAAAAGTAAATGTGTCATGTTTTGATAAAAGCGGCAGATAACTTTGTTGGTGGAGACCAGTTAGAAATATTTTCAGGTCGGGTAACCCAGACCGCTCTAACGGTCTTCTGTTGAGGAAGTTCCCGAGTATTTAGATGTGAATCGCCTTGGTCGCCTCATCTTTCAAACTTAAAAAAAAAAAAAAACACTCGACACCTAGCAGTGATGCTCATCTACTACTTTTGCACATGAACAGATATGCTGCACGGTGCGTCAGCACTTAGAGGGGGTGACCAACTGTTTAAAGTCAGGCAATTGACAAGATAATCAGTGGTATTGAACAGGGTGTTTACTATAGTCCATGTTAATTCACCAAGACGAAACATGTATATGCCAATAGTTCCAGTCAACTAAGATCAGAAGCCAAAAAATATTATTATTATTATTATTATTATTATTATTATTAAATTATTTTAACTTCTATTTGTTTTATAATCCCATGCCGTTTCATAACCAATGACCTAAAGAAAGCGTAAGAGGTGATTATTTTTGCTGTTTCCATTTAATTAAACAAATGATGCATTGGGGATTTTGTTGACTTGTTTTTGAGTTCCTTTCTTTATCAGACCCAAAGCTCCAGCCGCAACTAGTTTTTAAGTGCCATATTTTTTTTCTATTTCCATCTCCAGGTCTTTGTATTTGCTTAGTTTTTCAAAAACCTCCCCAGAGGTGTTTTTGTCACTTGGTACGCTCATGTCGATCAGTGTGCAAATTTTTTATTTTTCTGTCTTTGATAATACTGTCTGGGTTATTTGCTTGTATTGTTCGATCTGCGTTGGTTGGAAAATTCCAGAGGAGAGTAACATCTGCTCCCTCAATTACACACTCAGAATGATGTTTATATTAGTTTGCAGCTGTTTTTGTCGCGTAGTGATGACAAATCTTCAAATGCAGATATTGACCTATTTTGTCATGACGTTTTATTATTGTTATTCTTATTACGTGTAGTATCATCTTGCCAGAGTGTAATTTTATCACGTCCCCTCCGAAGTCTAAGAGCAAAAAGGGCACTGTAGGTAGTTACCTATGTATATTCGGGTGGTTTCGTTTTGTTTAGATGGAAACGGTTTTACGGATGATATGTGCAGTTCCGCACAAAGTAGTCTTTTGTATCTCTGAGATGGTGATGTGTCCAGGAATTTTACTCACATAAAATTATTATTATAATTATACTCACATTATTATATTTCCTTTGATTTCTGGTATATACTTATTTTTCCGGGTTTCAACTATGGTCAGAAATGTCATAAAAAAACCCCCAAAAATTAAGATCACACGCATTTTACATAGATAAAGCCCTTCGTAAGGTATAAGTTATACTTGTGAGTAAAATATTTTGTATTCCTTTACGACTTGGGCTATCAGGGATCCTCTCAATGGGTCTATCGGAACGTTTTCCAATGAAACCGAGGGCTCCAACTACAACTGGAATTGTGAATGTCCTCACGTGCCGCATTTTTGAGATCCCGTTTTTGTTTGTTGTTTCATCTCTTATTTATATTGATATTAAGTTTTTCAGTAACTGCTTATACTGTTCCATATATGACATTGTTTACTTCTGTGATGTTTTCTTGTGGTTTGTGGGTTAACAATGTTTACAATGCAGCGTTATATGTTTGCATTGTATGTTTATTGGACTTCGTTATGAAATTTTGGTAGCCGGTCTCTTTCTGACATTTGTGTGCGAGTTACTTTACAGATTATTTAAATGATGTTGTTTTTCAATTCATTGATTTCAATGAATGCTGCTCTAATGTCGTTTGGTTCATCTTCATCGGTGACAGAATCTGAATCAGTACAATTGTTTATGTCGCTGCTAGATTCTTCCATTTTATTTCCTGAGAGATCATTATTTCGTATCTATTTTATTTTAGTTTGTATCTCATCCTCTGTCATATTATCTATTTCCACTCTTGTCTCATTTTTATTTGGATTATGTCTGGTTGTACGTTGCCTTATATTTAGTTTTATCTGATCTATTTCTGTATTTGAGAGTCTTTTATTTTGCATGGACATTGGCAAAAATATTTGGATCGATATAGGGTCTTATTTTAGTTCCTACCATATCTCTCCATATTTGGCATGTCTGATCGGTGATGTTCTTTTCTAGATTTTTCCACTGCAGTGAAAAAAGATGCCATGACTTGTTTATACTCTTCACGATTTCATTACGTTCTTCTTCTTCTTCTTCTTCTTCTTACTATTATTATTATTATTATTATTATTCATTTTTATTTTGTTTCAAAGTTTTTAATAGGAGTTAAGTGAAATTCTGGTGCCATTGATATATGATTTTATCTGGGCTTCAAAGTTGCTAAAAGCGCTCGATGAATTCAGGAAGTAAAAGAAAATGAAACAACACCTGACCCTCCTGATTGCAGTATTTTTCTATTCCTAAGAGAACTAAAAGACCTAACAGAATTCATTATTGACAATCATAATCTTTACACCTTAAGATATGTAAACGACATTGTGTGGTTGACAAACTCAGAAAGAAAATTGAAACAACTCTTAGATAAGATATTAAAGGAAAGTGAAAAGAAAGGACTAACTGTTAACTGTAAGAAGACAGAATGCAAAAAGACAGTCCAAGCTGTGAGCTACGAACTGGAGACATCGGAATCAAGCAGGTGCATAATTTCAATTATCTAGATAATGTAGAAAAAGACGACAGAAGGTACGACACAAAAATCTGAAGACCCATGGAAATAGCGAAAGGTATCTTTTAGAAACTAAGCAAAGAATTAAGAGACATGAAAATGTTCCTAGAATCAAATAAACTAGTTCTGAACTGCTATGTAATATCTAATCTCTTATACGACAGTGAATTCTGGACACTCTCCTCACAGATGAAGCGACAGAAGCGTAGTTCTACTCACGAATACAGAGTCGATAAAACATGAGACAAAATGGGAAGTCTTAAGGAAAATAGGAGTTTAAAATCAGAATGAGACTTCTAAGTTACAATGAGGAAAGGAGATCTGAAGAATTTAATACTCACATGACAAGAAAAACAGAGAGAAGCAACAAAGAACCGATTTAATGAGTTTAAATGAAGGAACCTCGCCAGAACATGCAATGCTTGAAAACATTGATCCAAGGTTTCCTGAGCCTGTTGAGTTCTGGCGTATATCTCAGTTTTTTTTTCTTAGATGAAAGCTATGTTAATAGCTTCTTCAAAGTTTGTACATTCGCTGAAAAGTTCATATACACCAAACGGCACGTAGCTTGTATGAATATCCAACTCTTCACCTTCAATATGCTTGAGGAAGTTTTAAAATGTTCAGTACCAAAGATTTTCTCTACACCGGAGTTCTTACTATCTAGATCCTGACTTTTAGATTATAGTACCCTGTCCATGTTGATATTCGAAGCAAAAATAGTAGTGAATAAAACGTTTTAATCTATAATTAGCTAAAAGTATTCACTACTATTTTTCTAGTAGCTTTGTCTTCAAGGTCAGGCTTAGTTTTAGTCATCAGCTGTATCAACTGCTGTTTATATGCTGAAGATTTGCATATGAATACAACAGAACACATAATAGGGAAAGGGGGATTTGGAGAATTTAACACTCACGGGACAAGAGAAACAGCGACAAACAACAAGTAGCCTACTTAATAAATTTGAATGAATAGATGCTAAGGACAAAGAAGAATCGTAACGAATGAAACGTTATTTAGAATAATGCTGTATCTCGTGTTTTTGAGATAACAGAGAAAAATAAATCAAGAAGACAAACTTGTAGGTAAGTAATGAAATAGAAGGTTTACTACATCAAGGTACAATTATTAATTGACCTAATGCTACCACCCTGGGTAAGACGATAAACTACATCCGCGTCCTGGGTAAGACGATAAACTACATCCGACAGCAAGGCCTCTGATCAGGAGGTTTTGAGGAGCGTGCAACCACCTCTTAATTGCTGGTTTTTCCAGGTCCACTCTGACCATGGGTGATAGCACTTATCAGGGTCCCAGTTATGAACTGGGGTCAAAACAAATTGAAAGTCTAAAAATAGGTTTTACTAACAACAATAGATTTTTCTAAAAAATTATTAACAGCAATACATTTTTTAAGAAAAAAATTATTACCAGCAATACATTATTACCAGCAATACATTTTTGGAAAAAAATGTATCACCAGCAATGCATTTCTGGAAAAAATATTACCAGCAATATATTTTGAAAAATTAGAAAAATATTACCAACAATACATTTTTGGAAAAAAAATTGCCAGTAATAAAAATCTTGTCGGCATTAAATAACCCATTGAGGTTGATATGCCGTAAAACAAACCAAACCAAACTTAATTGTCTTAACTGACATTATGGTTAGAATGCTTTGAGATTGAGCAATACAAATAGAAAAAAAGATTATACACATGTTTCAAAGCAATTTATACAGTATAACACAAAGATATATTTGAGCTGCAATTTAAAAAAGTTAATTTATTTGGGAAAGATATTAAAATAATCCAGAACATATAACGTCCCGGATATGACGATAATTTTTTTATTTTTTTTTTATTAATTTTTTGAGAAAAATTATTATTAGCAATACATTTTTGAAGGAAAAATATTAACATCAATACATTTTTGTAAATAATTATTACCAGCAATACATTTCTGAAGAAAAAGAAATAATACCAGCAATATATTTTTGAAGAAAAAAAAATATTACCAACAATACATTTTTGGAAAAAAAAAATATTACCAGCAATAAAAATCTTGTCAGCATTAAATAACATTGAGGCTGATATGCCGTAAAACAGATCAAACCAAACCAAACTTAATGCTAACTCTGCTCATCTCCGTTTATTGATTTAAACGGACCATTCATTTATTCATTTATGACCTATATGACAAATAACAAAAGGCAAGAATTTGTGGACAGTCATAATCGCGAAGAAGATTATAAGGTAAAATAATGAAAAGGATTGTCAGACTTACTTTAGGCATACATACGTGTTCCTGACGAAAACAAATGCGCCCATAAATTTCATCACTCACGATTATGATGTTGTGCTTACGGCAGACTTCGCTGGCAAAATAAATTAAAGTGGAAATAAAATAAAAGGTTTAAAAAGGACTAAATTTATTAAATTTGGCTCAATGAGAACTTTATATAAGACCCTGTGTCGGGTTATCTCTACCTAATTTTTGAAACCGTTACTTGGGGGCGCTCTCCAGCACTATATATACTCGGCGATATCTCCCATTTTTTCTCATTTCTCCGCTTAGATGTCAACAATGTAAATTTCTAGCGGAAGAACGTGATCCCTTTTGTGGGACACGTATGAATGTTACACACACGCACACACACGCGCACACACACACGTACACACACGTACGTACGAACATTCACTCACACATACTTTGGACCACAAACTTTCCACATTCATTCATACACACATATTATTGTCTTTGTTATTTGTAAACCTTTGTTTGTTAATACATATTAATTAGTTTGTACATATATATCTGTTCTTGTTGTTTCATTACATTTGTTTTGGCGGACTAGTACTCCGAGTCTGCCATGTTTGTAGTGGGCATTTCAGGAGACACACACGTGTTTATCTCACAACGCGTACACACCAGCCAACAACATCTTGGGACTAAAAGCCAACCCTCTTATTCAAATTTCGCCATGTCAATTCCATATATGTGGTGGTAAATATTTATACGTTATTTTCTGAATGTTTAACTATTATAATTTTTTATAATTATTATTATTTTTAACTATTACAACTTATTATAATTATAATTATTATTAACTTTAACTATTATTATTTTGTCTATTTTAATATTTTTGCTTTTGATCTCCATTGGGAGCGTGTCTTTCATAGATGTTACTTTAGTCACTTAAGCTACAGAAGTGTTGATAATTAAGTAGAACACATTCTATAGTCATTCTGCCATCTTTTTATCTTTGATATATTCATTTTAGTATATACTCATAGAAAAATACTTCCACTAAAAAGTTTTATTATTATCGGGTAGTAAATTAAAAACGGCTAAATTGTTAAGGCGACTTTCATGAAAGACAGGATTCCGAGGTGTGGGATGCGAACTAAAGGGGGTCGTTCGTAGTTATATCTTTATTTACAATTTTGTATTCGAAGATCGACTCAGAAAGTTGAGATAAAAAGTAAAAGTAATGGTATAAAGAAAGACTGTAATAATAATAATAATAATAATAATAATAATAATAATAATAATACCCAGACCCGGTTACGGAGATAGGACCTGTTACAATTCTATGGGACTACACAATACACACTGACAGAACAATCAAGGCCAACCGCCCAGATATTGTTATTAAAGACCACAAACAAAATCGGTGCCTCCTTATTGATATGGCAGTCCCTGCCGACTGCAATGTATCTTTGAAGATATTCAAAAAGTTGTCAAAGTACAAGGACCTTGAAATAGAAATCGCGAAAATGTGGCATATGGGAACATCAACAATCCCTGTTGTAGTTGGAGCTCTAGGACTGGTTGGAAAAGATTCCAGTAGACTAATTGAAGGGATTCCTGGAAGTCCATGCCTCAAGGAGATACAGAAAATTGCTCTGACAAGTACAGCCCACACCTTACGAAGGGCTTTATTTATGTAATCTTTTTTTTTTTTTTTTTTTGTCAGTGGAAAGTGTCATGACGCCATTTCTAACCTTAGGTCCCTGGGCGGGACCCGGAAAGAAATGTAAACGCCAGAAATCAAAGAAAATAAAAATAATAATAATAATAATAATAACGACTCGATATTTGCACTGGAAAGATTTTTCGGGAAGGAAACAGCAAGAAATTGGTACGAACACTGCCTCGACCCGGATGCAGAGATAGGACCTGTAACAATTTTGTGGGACTTTACAATATACACAGACAGAACAAGCAGAGCTAATCGTCCAGAGATCAAAGATCAAAGATCAAAGATCAAAGATCACAAAAACAGATTGACATCGTAGTTCGTGGAGACTGTAATATATCTTTGAAGATCTTAAAAAAAAAAAAACTATCAAAATACAAAGATCTTGAAATGGAGATCTAAAAAATGTGGCCTATGAGAACATCAATAATTCCAGTTATATGTGGAACCCTTGGCTTGGTTGGAAAAGGTTCTGGTATACTCATTGAAGGAATTGCTGAAAACCGATGCCTTCAAAGATATAAAAATTGTTCTCGCAAGTACAGCTTACACCTTACGAAGGGATTTATCAATGTAAAATGTGTGATCTTAGGTTTTATTTTTATTTTTTTTATGAAAATGTTTAGCAAAAATGTCATGACGCCATTTCTGACCTTAGATCTCTGGTTGGCACCCGGAAAAAATGTGTATACAACAGAAATCAAAGAAAATAATAATAATAATAATAATAATAATAATAATAATAATAATAATAAACATATCCAGCGTATATCCAGCGAATGTCTTGTCCATTTAATTTTTTTTGTTAATAGCTGTCTTTTGTTTAATTAATTGGAAACAACAAAAATCACATTCTTCGCTTGACCTAGGTCAAAGTTTATGACCCGGAATGTGATTATAAAACAAATGAAGAAAGAATTTTTCTAAAATAATAATAATAATGATACTCCTCTGATAAATGACTCTTGATTCTAATCTTATTTGATTGGAGTTGTTAACATCTACATGTTTTGCTATAGTGAATTAAATATGTTGAAGTAAATATCTT